GCGGTGTGACTCAGTCCCTGATGTACTCTCTATAAAGACGCAGATCACCAGCTTTCCTTTCTTTTGTTGTTGTGTCCACGTCCGAGTGGTGACCCTCTCGGGACGGAACACTCTGGGTGGTTCAGGGAAGGCCCTCACCGGTCCCCCAGAATCACACACCAGAACCGGGGTGTTTCACACATAAATTGGACTGGCGCGGGGTCCCTCCCAAGAAGCCATCACCGTGTCCGAGTGGTTAAGGAGTCCGATTAGAAATCGGATGGGCTCTGCCCGCGTAGGTTCAAATCCTGCCGGTGATGCATCCTTTTGTGCCCCCCCCTGCGGGCCGGCCTCTTTTTTTCGCGGCCGGACGTGCGCGAAGCGCGTTTGTGTGCCGTGTGCGTGCGTCGGCCCCCGCCCCCCCCCCCGCACGCGACCGGCAGGGGCGGTACCCCTGCTCTCGATGCGTGTCAACCGCCACACCTCCGTGGGCCTGGCTCCGGGCGCCCGATCGTCGTGCCTGTTTCCGGGCCCGTCTCCGGGGGAGGGGGGGGGAGGGCGGAGGAAGGCGTGCGCGCGCTGTAGCGGGCCAGAACGAGGGGCCGCACGCTCCCCCGGCGCGCGCGCCCGCCCAGCGTGTGGTCCCCGCCCTCGTCCGGGGCTCGGTGTCACCGGCGTCCCACCGTGCGGATCGGTCCCCCCCCCCCCCCTGCCGCCACGGGCCTAGCAGCGGTCGGCCCACTTTTTGTTGTTTCAGAAAGATACTATATTGATGGGAAGGAAAAATGGTCCTCGGTAAAATACAACCCCCGCGAGGGGCTGGAGCATGGGGCGGGGGGCGGCGCGCGCGCGGGGCCCAAGTTCTCCCCCGGTCCCCTGCCCTTCACCCGGCGGGAGGAGAAGGGCAGGGGGCTCGGGCGCGGGGGTGTCCCTGGGCACCTGCACGGCGCCCGCACACGCTCGGCCACATCGCCGGGCACGGCATGCCCCCCCCCACACCCGGGGCGTTCGCCCCTCCTGCTCCGGCTCCCCCCCTCTGGCGCGAGGCACAGTGCGGCGGAAACTCAAAGGCACTGCTCGGGCCTCGTGTAGCCGGGGACACCGGAGCGGAGGGATGGGCGCGTGGCACATGGGGAACTCAGCCCGGGCCGCGAGGAGGGAGGGGAGAAAAAAGAAGGCCCCAGAGGCCGGCCACACCATGCCGGCGGCAGCCACGCACGCGCCGCACCAGGGAAAACTGTCCCCGGCCGGCGGGCGTGTGCGTGCGCCCCGCCACGACGGTCCTCCCGGGTCGCGGGCGGGGGGAGGGTGCTCTCGTCCAGTGGGCACACGGGGCGGCCGGGCGGCCGGCCGGGCGAGTGTCCGCCCTCTGCGCCCCATGCCGCGCGCCTCCCCCTCTCCCCCCGCCCCCTGCAGACGGGTGTCCCCGCCCTGCGGCTTAGGACATCTCGAAGGACGTGGAGGAGCCCTTCTTGCCGACGTGGTGCTTCTTGTAGCGGTAGATGCAGGCGCCGACGCCGATGATGACGAAGACGCCGATGATGACGGCGATGATGATCAGGGCCTGGGTCAGCAGGCGCATGGCCTTGCCATAGTTGGGGTGCCACTTGTCGCAGTCGGCCTTCTCGGGGGAGGTGCACTCGAGGCACTGGTTGAAGCAGCTGGCGCACGCGCGGTCCAGGCCGCCGCCGTCGATCTCGAAGAAGCGCTCCGGGCAGGTGTCCAGCGCGCAGCCGAGATTCAGCAGCACGCGGTCCGGCTGGCAGGACAGGCAGCAGCCGGTGGCGGCGCCGCAGTTGCAGCTGGCGCAGCCATCCGCGCAGGGCCCGCACACGCCGGCCACCGTTTGGGACATGTCGTCCGGGTCGGCCGGGGCCGGGTACGTCCGGGCCGGGCAGGCGTCCACGCAGGCGCCCTCATGCAGGTAGAAGGGCGCCTGGCAGAGCTCGCACACGAGCTCCCCCGCGCCGGACCCGCTGCCCTGGGCCCCGCTGCCGGAGGCCGAGGAGGAGGCCCCGGCCGAGCTGCCGGCCAGCGTGCCGTCATCCACCCGGCAGCGCTGGCAGCGGCTCGGGCAGGGCCGGCACGTGCCATTGTCCTGCAGGCTGCCGGCCGGGCAGCCCCCGAGCACGCATGTCCGCTCGGCCGGCAGCAGGAAGTACCCATGGGTGCAGGCGTCGCAGGCGCCGGTGCCGTCCTCGCACTCGTCGCACCCGGCCGGGCACCGGGCCAGCGCCCCGGCCGTCGTGACATAGGTCATGGTCGGCTGCTGGTCCAGGCAGGCGCCCTCCAGGAGGACCTTGCCGGCCGGGCAGCCGAGGCAGGTCGTGCCATCGGCGCAGGTCCCGCACGAGGGGTGGCACTCGATGCACGCCCCGGCCTTGGGGAATTCCCCGGCCGGGCAGGCAGCCTGGCAGGTGCCGTCCCGGGCCAGGACCCTGCCCTGGGGGCAGGCCTTGCAGGCCAGCACCTCCTGGCCGCCCCCCAGCGAGTCGGTGTACGCGATGCACTGGTCAATCAGGCAGCCGGCCGGGCAGGCGTCGCAGGTGTTGGCCGGCCGGTTGAAGGCCTGGCCCGCGGGGCAGGCTGTCACGCAGGCCATGCCGTCGTCGCGGAGCCGCGCATCCCCCAGGCAGGCGGTGCACTTGCCGCCGACGGCGGTGGCGCACCCGGCCACCGGGATGGCCGTGCACTGGCCGGCGCCGTCGGCCTGCTGGCCGCGCGGGCACTCGGCCACGCAGGCCTGGCCGCTGAGCAGGAACCCGCTGGCGCACCGGCTGCACACGCCATCCGGGCCGCATGTGTGGCAATTGGCCGTCGGGCAGGCCCGGCAGCCATCCTGATTGTCGTCATAGGTGCCAGCCGGGCAGGCGGTCACACCGGGCCCGAGGCAAGCCCGGGCCGCGTGGTCCAGCAGGCGGCCCGCGTCACACCGCAGGCACGCGGTGCCGGTGGCGTCGCAGACGCTGCACCCGGCCGGGCAGCCGGTCCGGCAGGCGCCGTCCACCGGGCAGGTGCACGTGCCGGCCACCAGGGTCAGCCCCTCCGAGCAGTCGGTGCACTGGTCGGCCCCGGGGCCGGAGCACCGGCCGCAGGTGGGGTGGCACGGGCCGCAAATGCGCTCCTGCGTGGCGGCCAGGTTCCCCATGTCCGGCAGCGGGCCATACCCGGCCGGGCAGCTGTTGCCGCCGATGCACTGGCCATCGTGGCGCCAGAAGCCCGGCTCACAGCGATCGCACGTCTGGCCCTGCGAGCAGAAGGCGCAATTGGCCCCGACACATGGCAGGCAGGTGTTGGTGCTGGAGAGATACCGGCCGGCCGGGCAGCTGGCACAGTCGCCGGCCAGCGGCCCGGTGCACTCGGCGCACGACCCATCGCACGCCTGGCACCGGCGCTGGGCCGCGTCGGCGAAGGTCTTCGACGGGCAGATGGCCTGGCAGGCGCCGTCGCGCAGGAACAGCCCGGCCTGGCAGGCGGTGCACGTGCCGAAGGTGCATGCGGCGCAGCCGCTCGGGCAGGGCACGCACGCCTTGTCCATGAGGAAGAAGCCGGGCGCGCACCCGGCGCACACGCCATCCACCATGTCGGTGCAGTTGACCGGCAGCCGGGCGCACGCGCCGCTGCTGCTGGCCCAGGCGGGCCCGGCCGGGCAGGCGCTCCGGCACTCGCCATGCATGGCCACATAGCCGGTGGCACAGAAGTCGCACTGGTGCGACCCGGTCCCCAGGCATGTGTCGCAGTTGGGCGCGCACTCGGCGCACACCTGGGTCCCGAGGATGGTGGTCGTGCCGGCCGGGCAGGCCACCTCGCACTGGCCGGTGGGGCTGAGGTGCAGCTGCGTGCCGCACGCGGTGCACGACCCATCGGCATCGCACGCCACGCACCCGGCCGGGCAGGGCACGCACACGGACCGGCCGGCGGCCAGGTCGAAGGAGGCCCGCGCGCCCGAGCCGCAGGTGCGCTGGCAGGTGCTGTCTGCGCGCAGGACCAGCCCCGGGGCGCACTCGGTGCACTCGCGCGGCTTGGCCAGGTCGCAGGCCTGGCAGTTGGGATGGCAGTCGATGCATGCCGGCTCGTCTTCGAAGATGACGGCTGCATCATGGCGAGGGGCGGGGGGGTGGGGGGGGGGGGGGGGGGGGGCGGGGCATGTCAGCCGGAGTTCGATGGGGCGTGGCGGCCAGCCCCGGGCTCGGGATCGGCCGGCAGAGCGCGGCCCGGCCCCACTGGCTGCCCCAACGCGCGCGCGCGCGCGCACACCTATGGGAGACACCTATGGAGGACCCCTATGGATGACCCCTATGGAGGACCCCTATGGAGGACCCCTATGGAGGACACCTATGGAAGGCATCTATGGAAGGCACCTATGGAAGGCGCCTATGGGAGACACATATGGGAGACACATGGACCCCCCC